CGCGTGACTTCCGCCGAAACGCAGACACGCCCTGTCCGTAGCTCGTAACACCCCATGGCGCTGAGTTAAGCCAAAACCACCCTGGTCAAGTCTGTGGTGAAAGCTAGCTCGGCGCACTCATCGTGGGAGTCCGCGTCGAGGTCGCAGTCATCTGCAGCTTCGCAAATAGGCACTGCAATCGCAATAGTGCGGCCACCCCACCATTGGTGAGAGAATAGCACGTCGTGCTGGATGCGCCCGCAGAAGTCCACGGCGCCCGCGTGAAAAATACGGCCCCCATGATCATGCGAGACCAGGGCTGCGTTGGCCGGCAAGACAGGGGCGCGGACCACACACATGGAGAAGATGAAACTGCCATGTCATCAAAGTGTATGTTTCGATTTACTGGTGGACAACGCAGACCAGTTCGTGGTACCAGCCATGCACTGTCATCGCGTACTCCTCTTGTTCGCCCTCTCCCTCGCCGACGGTGGATACTCGGCTAGCGCCCCTCTCGGATTCCATCGGGGTCTCAGGGAGGTTCAAGTTTCCACGCTCATCTCTCTCTCCTGGGGACCGTCGGCTAGGTCGGGGACTCTTGATTGTTCTCATTCGAATGAGTGCACTGGCCTGAAGAAGAGCAAGCACTGCATCAGTCGGGCATGACTTCTGCCTGAAATTTCGGGCACGTTCAGGAAAGCACTGGTTGGCTCATAGAAGTGGAAGCCAGCTTGAACCTCTTTGCCGCAGTAGATCAATGGACTGCGATCAGCAACAAGGCAGGACGGTAAGGCGCGAATGCTTTTGGCCAACCTGACAAGAATAACATTGTCGGTCCTACAACAAGTCCGAAAACGCACTGCAACGACATCAACTTAAGGAGACATCAACTTAAGGAGCCAACTTGCCCCCCGCAGACAGCCAGCACAACTTCTTGTGGTCAGCGAGGTAGCCAACAGCAATAAGAGCTCTATATCAGCTGGAAGTGCTCAGATTCGTGAGATGGCGGTGTCCAGGGCCGTGTTTTCCACGACAACTTTCCTGACAATGAATACCACGATTAAAAAGTTTAATCTCGCGTCGGGATAGTGAACAACACCTCTGTCCCCAAGCTTGACCACGAGCTGGCCGCGGGCTTGACTACACTGACCGTGCATGGGCCATTCCAGCCCTCGCGGTCATGCTTCGCTGCAGTTGGTCGGTGATAGTCCTGTTGGTCTCCCGCCCGAAAAACTCCTGCCACTGTCGGCTGCGGTCTTCGCTCTGAGAGCCCTGTTCACAATGGCCACAGCGGTGGCCTGGACAGTGGCTTCCAGAGCGCCGACAATAATATGTCGCCCCCGCGCCCGGCTGGTCGTTTCGAGTGCCTCGAGGTCGGGCCCTTCAAAGATGGGCAACATGGGTAGTCGTCAAAGTAGGCGTTGCAAGGAGATGGACCGTCGCAGAACGCGAAAGCATCACAAGCGAATAAAGCTTCGGCCAGCAGTCGGAAGAAGGCAAGGGGGGGCGCCAGGGCCTCGCGAAGCCCCCCCCCCCCCCCATGGCACGCATGACTCCCGAGCTCCATTGGCGTTAGCGCGTTGCCCCGAAGCTCGAATGCAGACCTCGGCCTTATGGGACTTCAGCCGGCTCTTGGCTTCATCGTTGATGAGACCCCTTCAGAATTACCGTATCATATGTTGGCGGCACGGTCGCAGTTGAAGCACGCGCCCAGGAGGGCATCATCTGCTCTCTTGGAAATGTCGTATCCACTGGCATATATGTTGCATCGGCCGATGATGTGGAAGCGATGCGCTGGCTGTAAGAGGACAGGTCGCACTCAACTCACTCATAGACTCGCCCAGGCAAGCTCAGCGATGGCAGCGCGGAAGCGCCGGGTCGCGCCCAAGTCCCGCGCCCATGGCAAAGGCCAACGATCGGCCTTATCACGTTGAGTCTTACGTCGTCCAAGCCTACTCGCCGTAAGATCCGACGCATTTCTGGCTCCTTTGCGCGGGGGAACCCGAGGCGCGGTTTCCTGAGTTACGCGTCGATGCCCGCTGGGACGACGCACCTGAGCGTCCGGAGACTGGATGGGATGTTGACCCGAGACAGATGGGACCGTGATCGGGCCAGCGCCTGGCCAGGCGAATGGGCGTGCCCGGCGGAAAAAATGATGGCGCACTGGTTCAGGAGGAACAGGACCCGTTCCTCAGCCTCAATCGCGTCTCCACGGGTGGCTCGACAGGCTGCGGCGCTGTCCGTCTCGGCCGTTGGTCATCAATCGCACGCGGTCGTCGCGGCCGCCCCGGATGGGCCCCGAATCGCCGAGAGGACGAAGCGGCTTATCCGCTCCCCAGCTCAACGATCTCAGAAAGTCCCAACCGTCCTTGGGACTGAGAGACACGGGTGCATCGTGCCTAAGGCGCCCGCCAAACGGTTTGGCGGAATGTCACTCGCCAGTGACATGACCGCGTCCAAGTTCACGCTGACTATAGCCTCTCCTACATGTATCACAATCACACTGGACCGGGATCGCGTCGCAGCATCGACAAGCGCGAGGACCTTTTGTGCGAGATTAGCTGTTCGCATGAAAATGCTCGGCGCGTCCAAGACAGCCGCGTCCACTTGGCGGGGCCCTGCCAAGCCTGGGCGGATTGGCGGCTCGCGTCGCCTGGTCGGAGTCCGCAGGGCCGGCAGCAGCGGTCGGAAGCGCGTCAGCGCATGTATGAAGTGGAGGCATCAAGCTTCCTCGAACGCGTCGGCGCCATGGAGCCGCTGTCTTGGCCAAGATTACAACCTTTTTTGTATCTTTTTATATACACATATATATACATATAGATACATATGGATATAACTGGCACAATTCGGCAGTGCATCGGGCTGCCCTGGAGGGCGCCTTGTCGCAGTTGTTGCCATGTTCGCGACGACCGCTGCACTTTCACTCCTGTACAAAATTGGGATATACTGGACGGTTGACAACACTTTCCGTTAGCACACGCATTCGTATTTCACGTATCTCTGAACTTCGCCATGCACTGATCAATAAAAATTGTGCGAAATTTGGCTCCTCGTTAAACTTGGGTCCAAGGCTGGATCTCGTTTATCCAGTGTGCCGCTGTCTGTTCCTGCATCCGGCATCGGCCAGGCTGTTCCTGACAAAGAGCTACCCGTCCGCAATACTTACTGTGCGGGAGGTGTGTCTCGCGTCGCTTTGTCCACGCGTCGTAGTTAGCCTTACAGTTGAACCACGAGTTCGGGCCAGTCAGTCTGCAGTTTGGTTGTAGGATGGTAACCAGAACGCAGCAAGTGCCCAAGAAATGGCCACAACCCCTTTTGATACTGTGGTGACCAAACTCTACGAAGGTGGCGACTATGTCCAAGTTGCTGGCTCAGGAAACGTCCCCGGGTAAAAGCCGACACGGAGATGCCACTTTATCCCCACAAAATTTCAAGATCTCTTGGTTTCCATTCTTTCCGTAGCATCGGGAGAAAGCAATGTTGTAGAGGTGGGCCTGTTCAGGCTTACTCAGAGAGTACAGATGTCCTCGTAGTCGTTATCGTCGTCGCTTGTACAGGTCGCCTTACATCAAAAAGTGAAATATCTCTACCCAGACCACTTAGGTCATCCCCACCACAGTCGTCGTTGCCGTCCTTGACAGATTTGGGGATTATCCTGGGTTTTATGCCAGCTCCCTTAGCTATTTCTTCTTCCGTTTCTGTCGCATTCGTGCGTCAGTGGGGAGCGCCGTCCTTTTTCCATGGCCACTTATGTTAGTCATGCTTCCATGATCCGCTTGCGCAGATGGAGAGACAAACGTGGTAACCCCACCATCAGCATGTGTCGGACGGGGGGAAGAGTCGGCATCTAGGATGACGACCTGTCTGGTTCTTTGTGAATGATGGTCGTCAACTGCGACTTGATCCTCCTCATTATAGTACAAGCGCGTAGTATAAACATACATGCATACATACATACATACATACATACAAACATACATACATACATACATACATATATACATACATGCATGCATACATACATACATACATACATGCATGCATGCATACATACATACATACATACATACATACATACATACATACATGCATGTATACATGCATACATACATACATACATACATACATACTGACAGAGAGACAGACAGACAGACAGACAGACAGGCATATCTATATATATAAATATATATATATATATATATACCATGCTGTAGCTGAGCTTCCCAATCATATCAAATTGGGGTCTCCTTGACCTGGATGCCCTGTATTACCTACTTGTGCTGGTCGGCGTTCATAAGAACTCCTCTTCCAACCAGGTTCCAGTCGGGCATCCCAGGGTCGGGGTCGATGGATTTGACGAAGCGTGTGGCGTTGGGGGCATGACGCTCGTAAAGGCTGAAGTTAGTATGCGTGTTGGTGGTATTCGTCATTGGTCATCTGACGAAGGTTTCCGTGAGCTAGTTCAGGACATCGTGTCTCCACTTACTATGGTGTTCCGTCTTCCCGTACCAATGTAAGACGTGTTCATGAAAGCCCATGAGGAAAGACCATGACCAGGAGTGTCGGTATACGCCATGAAGATGCGACCTGCATGTATGTACCACTTGGGGTCGTGTTACTGATATCGTAATTGTACCCAGAAAATGGCATAGGCGTATACGTAGAACACTAAAGATGCCGTCACACAGGAACTCACGCATGAGCGGCAGGTGCCAGAATTACCCCGGTGGTCCGAGGAGGATGATGTCCATCTTCGGGTCATGGGACTTGACCACGAGGTTTTGGATCTTCTGCCAACGTGGCCCGGGTCGCTTCTTTTGCACACGGATATACCAGTCACATGGTGACTTGATCCATAATAAGGTGTACTGATACCGTAGGAAAAAAATTGTTTGGGATATAGGGCTACAGGGCCATAGGGCTATATGGGCTACAGGGCTATAGAGCTACAGGGCTATAGGGCTATAGAGCTATAGGGTTATAGGGCTATAGGGCTATAGGGCTATAGGGCGATAGAGCACCGGGGCACCCAGGCACCCGGGCACCCGCGGGCACCTCCGGGCACCCCCGGCCACCTCTGGGCACCCCCGGGCACCCGAGCACCCAGGCACCCCCAGGCACCCGGGCACTCGGGCACCCGGGCACCCGGGCACCCGGGCCGGCCACCGAAATCGGCGGCCCACCTCACCTAACCATATGAATCCAGAGGCAAACACTGATTGGGGAATCACCCTTGAGTAGTTTACCAAGCTACTGCATTCCATCAGAAGCCATTAACTCGTCATGGCATTTCCTATCACACATGACGCGGTGCTGGCGGAGAGTGGAGCAGGCCATACGTACGCATTCTATCACGAGGGCGCGAGGCTTCTGTACAGGTACTGTGCGGCCCTTGCTAGAACAAGCTGCCATCGGACCGTTGGCAGCATGTCCCCTTCATGACGATGAAGAAAAAGAGGCCTGCTGGTGGGTCGAATTTTCTCGATTGCCAATGTCGGCTCCCGCCTGCACCTTGGTACATCTACTGTCGAGGAGGACGGTGGTGTGCCCCGTGTCGCTGGTGTTGTTCTCCATCGCGGAGAATTTCAAGATCATCCGTGGTGAAGAAGTATCAGGCGAAACGCCGGGCCGCCCTGCCGACGCGTCTGGGGGTGCGGCATGGAAAAATTACTTGTAAACCAAAGGGTGGGAGGAAAGAAGGGACGACATGGAGTGCTTATAAGCACAAGGGTGGGACGAGGGAGGAGAGGACGACATGGAGTTACCGCTAAGAAAAAAACAGGGGGGAGGTGGGAGGAGGGAGGAGACACTTTCCCCTCCGCACCCGTCGCCCGGCCGCTCCTGGATCGCGTCGGCGCTCCCCTTAAGGGCGCTGCTGATGCGGGCCACCTGCTCGAGGCTCGACGCGGGTTGAGGAGGAGGAGGAGGAGGAGGAGGAGGAAGGGGAGGGGGAGGGGAAGGAGGAGGAGGAGGAGAAGGAGGAGGAGGATAAGGAGGAGGCGGAGAAGGGAAGGACAGCAAAGGCAGGCAGGAGAAAGGAGGAGGGAGCGAAGGGTCACGATGTCACGGGCGCCTCGCTCGACCAGCGGCCTGCCCTGGAAGAAGAAGGAAGGAAGGGAAGAGGGAAAGAGAGAGGGAGGCAAAGAGAGAGGGAAGGAGGAAAGAAGAGGGAAGGGGAGAGGGAGGGAAAGGAGGGAGTGGGAGGGAGGAAGGGAAAGGAGGGAAGGAGAGAGGGAGGGAAAGGAGGGAGGGAGGGAGCCCTGGAAGGGAGGGAAGGAGAGAGGGAGGGAGAGGAGGGAGGGAGAGGAGGGAGAGGAGGGAGGGAGGGGATCTAGCTAGGTGCGCTCGCGTTATATCTGACGTCCTACCCCTCCCCTCCATCCCTTAGCATAGCGTAGATATCCTCTCTATTCGCAGTCGGATGTCGAAGCAGGGCATAGCATTACATGGCATAGCATAGTGTTGAAGATCAACGCGTAGCCTGACATAGCATGGCGTGGCGACGCCACAACGTGGGTGGGGGGGGCTTCTGCGGGCCAAGAAATCAACGAATCGACACCATGTGTTATCACTTCCGATGGTTGTTTCGGAAGTAAATTTGGGGGCCTATTTGAAGGACCGAAAACCATGTTATAGCATGGCGCTGGAAATAATGACGCCAGCGCTGCAGCGGGAGCACGATTCGGAACGAGCGGAAGCGCGGAATTGAGGCCAGCGCTGCAGCAGGAGCACGATTCGGACGACGCGTAGCCTGACATAGCATGCATGGCGACGCCACCAAGGGGGGGGGGGCTTCCACGGCCCAAAAAATCAACGAACCGACACCGAATGTGAAATCACTTCCGCTGGTTTTTCGGGGGGGCTGTTTCAAGATTTCGGGGCCTACTTGGAAGGACCGAAAACCAGGCCGTGGCGTGGCGCTGGAAATAATGTCGCCAGCGCTGCAGCGGGAGCACGATTCGGAACGAGCGGAAGCGCGGAAATGAGGCCAGCGCTGCAGCGGGAGCACGATTCGGAACGAGCGGTAGCCCGAAAATGAGGCAAGCGCTTCAGCGAGAGCAGCTTTTTTGAAAAAAACAAATCGAGAACCCGTTTCCCATGAATCCTCCGTGTAAAAATAAGTTGCACAGCCTGCCGCCTGGCAGCCTGCCATGCCAGCTTCCCCCTCCCCAGCTGACGCCCCGCTGCTGCTGGTCCCCACCCCCAGCGCCGCCCTGCCGCGCGCCTGGCCCTGCTCTGAGCGGGCCCGGCCTCCATCTCCCTCCCGCCACCGCCGGGCGTCTTCCTCCTCCCCCCTCATGCATCGCGGCCTAATTCGCGTTCGTTTATCCTACCGACGCCCTATCCGCCATCGCAGTCCTTCTGCCTAGCCGCCGACGTGAATAAAAAACAGTGTAATTGTAGAGAGAGGAAAGGGAGAGGGTGTGACAGACGAGCAGGGGGCCAGAGCGGGATGAGAGGGGGAGCGAAAGGAGGGAAGGGGAGCCGCGGCACGAGGGAGAGGGGGACCACGAGGAGGGATCGGGAAATGAGCTCCCGCTCGAAGCTCTTGGCAAAGCCCACACCCTAGCGGGAAGGAAACGGGTCCTGGAGGGGTCACCGATTCGACTTCGCGCATCTCGCCCAGCGATGCGCGTCGCACGGTGAAGTGTCTTCACGCAATCGCGCCACCCTCTGGAGAACGCCAGCTCAGCGGCCCCAGTCACGAAGCGCGAAGCGATGACATGTCGCGCACCTCGGGGTGGCTGGAGGCGAGGGGGGCCCTGAATCTTCGCGCTCGCCGCTGACAGGCCCCTGGGGCCATCCACGGGCCACAGGACCGTCCGAAAACGGCACACGGTCAAGAGCTGTCGAACGCACCGAGGTTGGAACACCGCCGAGGACCGACGAGAACGTCCGAAAACCTCGAACCTCAATCCGGCGACGGGTCGGGAACCCGCGGACGAAGCGGCCCAGGGACACGCACACAATATGTTCAAGCTCCAGGGTTCCACACACGTTTTTGCATGTCCTGGGGTTGCGTCTGCCCCTCCATCTCACACACGCTTCCCACTTCCTGTTTTGTCTCTGCGCTCATTTCTCCCTCCTGAGCTTCTCCCGTGGCGAACATGCACACCCAGAGATCAGATGTCGTGATTCTTTCAGTGCGGGGTCCCTGGAAGTCTCGCCCCATTCCCCAGGACCGGTTTTCCATCCTGAGTCGTTTCTTGACGGTCCCGGGGCCCGGCGAGGGCCCCCAGAGGCCCAGAACTGCGAAAAACCTCCGCCTTGTTTTTTGTCAATGCGTTGGATCTCTGGGCACCCGGCCGCCGTGGCCGGGGTGGCCCCGCTGGCCGCCCCGGCGACGCAGCCCGGACGTCCCTCGCAGGGGCACCCCGGGCCGGGCATGGGCGCCGGCGAGTTCGGCCATCCCAGCGCAGGCCGCACACGACGGCCGCACGCCCGAGGGAGGGGAGTCGATCACGGCTTCCAACGCTCGTGCTCGTGCTCGTGGTCGCGCTCTGGGAAGGGCGGAATCTGTCCCCCGAGGCTGGCCCGTGATGCTGCATGCAGGCTCAGCCACCCTGTGCTCTGTCTCCCCGATTAGAGCTTTGCGTAGCCCGCCTAGCTTTTAACCGGAAGAGGCTCGCTCTGGACCCGCAGACCAAAAATGCAGGCGCAGCCACCCGCGATGCCACCAAGGGTGCGCCTGCGGCAGGCAGAGCCCCAGGGAGCCACCAAAGACAGGCCACAGGCCCAGGCCGACCGCTCACGACGAGGCACATCGTCGGGGGGATCGACCACGGCTTCCACCTCCGATGAGGTCCAGGCGCGATGCTCTCACACGTCGGGCGACGTCGCCCCGCTTCGGGCCCTGGGGCCCTCGCGGATCGCTCCGGGCAGAGAAATGCCAGAAAAGGAGAGAGAGAGAGAGAGAGAGAGACAAGGTCCAGGGCCCAGGCCATGACTTCCAGGATGCTGCAACCTGCTCCGCTGCGCCAGCTCTGAGTCCTCCTCCTCCTCCCTGGCCATCCGCCGATGTGTCGATACAGATACGACGTCTTCGGTGCGCGGCCCCAGAGGCCCCCGGCCCTGTCCCCCGGGGTCAGCGCCTCGCCCCCCCGTTGATTTTGGTAGCCCCGGGGACCCGAGGCGGGCCCAGGAGGCCGACGTACGCCCCGATTGAGAAAGAAACGCACCGTCGGAGGTCAGGGTCCTCCCCCCTTTGTGACGCCAGGCAAACTGAGTCCGCCACCGTGCCTTCAGCCCGTGGTTCGGGTCGGGCGAAAGGGGGGGATAGCAAAGGGGGGGTTTGAGAATCAGCTCGCGTAGCTGATTTTCCCGGCGCCTCCCAGCGCCGGGAGGTGCCAATGTATCGAGGAATGGGCCCCTCGGTGAGGCCGAAACCAACTGCATGCAGCAAATTTCGTAACCCCCCCTTTCCCAATCCCCCCCTTTCGCCCGGCCCGAGTGGTGGAGTGCCCCGAGGCTCACGCAACCCTGAGAAATGACAGGCTCGTGAAGTTTGAGGGCCCAGCCCCCCAGTTTCCCAGGCGCTCCTGGGCGCTGCCGGGCGCAGCCAGAGCGCACTGCATGGGCCTCTGGGGCGGTGATCCCGCCAAACAGGGCCCCAAAACAGGCGAAGAGGGCCCCAAGAAGCCCCCAGCAGGATCCAAGAGGCCCCCGAGACGGCCCAAGAGCTTTCCAAGACGTCCACGGTGGCCTCCAGACGGCTCTCGAGGCCATGCCCCCAAGAACAATCCAAAGAGGGCCCGTAGAGGCAAAATCGTCACATCCCCACAGGAAAACACACATGTTTCGCGTCTTCGACTTTTCGGCGTCAAGTCGTTCAAGACGGCCAAAGAAGCCTCCAAGATCGGCCTTACAAGAGAGCCCTAAGACGGCCCCAAGTGAGGCCCAAGAGGGAGACCCGAACCGACAATTCCAGCTTTCTGCCCCAAGATGCCCCCACGAGGCCCTAGGAGGCCCCCGAGACGTCCCCGAGAGGCCCCCAAGAGACCCTAGAGGCCCCCAGAGCCCTCCAAGACGCCCCCAGAGGCTCCAAGACGGCCCCCAAGAGGCTTCAAAACTGCCGCCAAGAGGACCCCGAGCGGCCTCCCACGAAATCCGAACCAACATCCAACAACCCAGGCACGGTGGCGGGATGGGCCGAAGATCAGCCGCCGCCCCATGTCGATTCATCGCAGGGGTGCCTGGCGTGCTGGACGATTTCGGTTTGGGTTATGTTCTTTTCCAAAAGAACTTCCCCTGGGGCTTCGGCCCGTCCCGCCGGCCACCCAGAAGACCCGGTTGCAAACGGCGTTCCTGCTCCAGACGGCCCCGAGATGGCCCAAGATGGCCCAAGATGGATTCCAAGACGGCTAAGATGGCCCCAATATGCCTCCAAGACGGCCCAAGATGCACCCAAGACGGCCTAAGATAGCCTCAAGATGGCCTAAGACGGCCCAAGAGGCCCCCAAGAGGCCACTCCTCCAGGAGGGCCCGAAGAGGCCAAAACCATTGATTTCCCTTATGAGTTCGCCCCGAGATCGCCCAAGAGGCCTCCAAGAGCGCCCCATGACGGCCCAAGAGGC